AACACCGTCCTCTTGAGCGACAGCCAAGCCCGCGCCACCAAAGTAGCATCGTCTGCGATGGCGACGCGGGCAAGCTGCTTGCCGTCCAATCCCCGCCCAACTTCCGCGCCGCATCCTCTTCGTTGCCACGTTGCCTGCGCTTCTGTCAATACCTGCACCATCACAAAGTTGAACAATACCGGCGAAAGCGGGTCGCCCTGACGAGCGCCGCGTAGAACTTGAAATCGGCGACTCTCCACGCCTGGCCAAGGCTGCACGCGCGCCTCCATGCCCCGGTAAACCTTCCGCAGAACCCTCACGACAGACGTCAATGTTGGAAGACAGAAGAGAATCGAACAACTCGTCGTGATGCACCTTGCCAAATGCCTTCTTTACGCCTGGCGCCACCAGCAGAAGATCTTCTCCACGCTCGGCAGATTTGTCCACCACCATGCGCAACACGTGCACCGCATCATCGCAACCACGCCCAGTGCGGAAACCATACTGTTCCTCCAGAAGCCTGCTCTCCTCTGCCGACTGCATACGAAAAACTAGCGCAGTGTCGTTCTTCAGTTCCGAGCGCCCCCCTTTCTTGAAAATCACTGACAAACGGCCAGTCTCCAATTCCAGTGGAGGCTCCATGCGCCCCGAAGGAATATCAGAGAAGTATTCCGCAGTAGTGTCTACAGAACGGCATGCCCTGTCTGCGGCATCTCGGACAACAGGCCGTCGCATGCGCAAGTTCGCCCTTCTTTCATCTTGCGTAGGCCGGATGCGAGCTCTTCTACGGTCACCTGGGGTACAATGCCATCGAGCTCCTGCTCTTCAAAATCCTCCGCGCGGTTGTCCTTGTACAGGGTCTCGTAAAAATCAGCAAATGCCTCAGCGACCCCTCCACTGTCTGTAACCTGCACCTTTTCGCGATCTGTGACTGCTGTGATCCTCTCAGTGCCCGCGCGTCTCTGATGCTGTCTGCAGTGCTCGGATCCCTTTGCCCTTCTCTGCCAAGTCCTCTACTCCTTTTCCCTGTCGTAACCGACGCTGTCGTCGCAAAGCCCTCCAAAGTTTCTTCGATAGCTCCCGCCTGGTTGCTAGGCACGTCGCCGCCCGCCTTTCGGAGAACAAATGTTGCAACTCCTCGGGATAAACGCGTGAAGGGTTGCTGTTGCAGGAACGAGTTGTCCGCGCGGCCGTCACCACTAAGGCGCTCACATCCGTAAGGTCGGAGTGTCCTTCGGAAAAGGCCTTCGTCAGCAAGTCAAGGTAGCAGGTCGGATTATCGTCGTCATCCAGCCCTGGCGCCCACCCCCTCATTCTTCGTTCCCTGACTGCCATTTGCGTTGTGTGCCTGCATGCTACTGCAGCGAACATCGCCCTATGATCAGATTTGCCTTCCAACTGGCTACAAACGCCCACGTCCTGCACAAGCTCAGCGTGCGCAGAATCGACCAGCAAGTAATCGATTTGAAAGATTTCCCCAGTGCTCCATAGTTTGCGCATCCACGTGTCATCCCAGTCCCGTTCAAACAGCCCTGCCGCTGAAATACACGGAGCACCATGCAACCAATGACTGAATATATGCCCTCGCTCATTCCGGCTTCCGTGCCCAAAAGGTCCTATCACCTGAGGGTCGCCGTACGTCTGTCGCTTCCCCAACACTGCGTTCGCGTCAATGCCTGTCACTACCCCCCTCCCTGCCCCACGCGCACCGAATACAGCCTTCTCCAGTTCAGCCAAGCCCTCCTCGAACTCTTCATCCGTAGCTCGGGAATGGCGCAGGTGGGAAGTCACAAACCGAATACACGCACCGGGCAAATCAGCGTCGACGTAACATAGCGTAGACGTAGGGGCATTGAAACGTGTTTCAGCACCTTGCTGTAGCCAACGCCTGCGCAGTAGAATGCCAATCCTCTCTTAGCGGAAGCCTATTTCAAGGAAAACCACAAATGACTTGATACGAAAACCTTTTCCATTGGATGCCCCGCGCGAGGCCCCTCCTGGTACAGAAGAATATCCCACGCTGGACCCTCGTCAAGCATATCAGCGACATCCTGTATGCTCCCTTCCCCCATACCACACGCATTCCATGAAAGAGCAACGAAACAATCATGTACTGGTATGTCGCCGGGACCCGCCCCCCCTCCGCTCTCTGAAGTTTCAGCCTGGTTGGGCGTCTCAGGCTGAATCCTTCCAGCGCGTTGAAGTAGCGTCACCGGTACATCCCCGCACACATTGGCATATGCTCCTCTGCACCCTCCCTGGGACCCCCCTGTCCCTGCCTCCACCTCCACGTTCTTCTCCTCCTACTCTGTGGCGTAGAGCTTTTCGAAATGGTCCTTCCAAGCAATACCCGCCCCCACCAAATCCATCTTCCCGTCTACCCGTACTGCCACACGCTCATCTTTGAACCACACAATAACCTTCAAGTAATTGGTGTCGATGTTGGCTGTCACCGTAGCGCCATTGCCCCCGTTGACTTCGATGATCGTCCAGACCACCTTCCGGACTGCCCGCTCACATCGCGCATCCTGCGATGTCGGATCCCTGTACTTGGAGTCTGTATTGCAGCAGATGTTCTGGCCCTTGTACTTGTGGACATGTTGGACCGCCTTCTTGCCCATGGGATTCCGCACAGCCTCGGATATTTTGAAACGTGCCCCACCGCGTTCTGCAAATTTCTTCCCATATGCAAACAACTTCTCTACGTCCGCCCTGGCCTCGGCGAGCACGCCTTCCATGAACTTCACAATGTCCTGCGCCTTGCTGTCCTCAGGGAAGCGTCCGAAGTTCACGGTGCGGCCTAATTTCTCCTTCTCCCCCTCCGTCGTACCCTTCCCTTCACCCTTAGCCTGACCATCCATTCCAGTCGTCGAAAGTCCCTTTCCGGTAAGACCTTCCTCCTTGATGATGCTTTGCTTACCAACTTGGGTAGATCATCCCGTATGGTGGCAAGCTCCTGCTTGATCATATCCGCTGTCTCCATGGCCAAATCTGCCGTGAGTTTAGCCTGCTTGGCTTACTCATGCCTTTCATCAGATTCATCATCTTCTTCGTCATGCCAACCATCGCCTTAGACCCCTCACCCACATCGTCGTCGTTGAGGTCGTCGTCATCGTCGATGCTCATCTTCTCCTCCGCCTTCCCAGTCTTGGCCTGCTTTTCCTCCGGAGTCTCCCCAGAGTGGTCGTCATTCTTCCTCGTCGCCATCGTGTGTAACAAATCCCACCGAAAACTTGATGCTGGAGGGCGAGTCAACAAGTAGTATAAGCAGATCGTGTATATAAAGATCGCCTCAGTTTGAGCCAAGCTTGAGCCAAAATGGTTTGGCCAGAGAAGAGGGAGGAGCAGAATGGTGAGAAGGACGACAATGGGGAGAAGGATCGGCGGCGAGCGAGGGAAGGGGAAGTGAGAAGGAGAAGGCCTTCTCAGAAGGCGGCGGGGCTTCTCAAAGCCCTCCGGCCTTCTGAGGGGTTGTCTGTGTATTCGGGGAAATCTTAGAGGACTTCTCAGAAGGCTGGTTAACTTTCGAGTCTTCTAATAGGGCCCGCCACGTCTCATTCCCCCCTGGGCTCGCCGCCGGAAAATGTCCCCAAGGAGTCGCAGCCCCCAATCGAGCCCGCAGAACGAAGCAAGAAACCGAATTCCGCAATCGAGATGCGACGCGCGCGCCAACCCAGCGACGCGAACCACGACCGCGAGACGATGAAGAATGTGAAACGACGCGGCACGCGCGCAGTCTGTGTTCTGACCTCTACGATTAGCCACGAAAAATTCCAATTTCCCCAACAGTGCTTGCACTTTAGGGGTTCTTCCTTTGTCCAAGAGGAAGTGGGCCTGGGTGTCCGTCTGGCCGGCTTGTTGTCGCCGTCGCCCGTCGCCGCCGTCCGTCGCCGCCGCTTCCAGGTCTTGGTGTCGGACGCCGCGCTTGTTGTCGCCGTCGCCGCCCGTGGCCGCCGTCGGTCGCCGCAGCACTGCGCCGGGGTGTCGGTCGCCGCGCTTGTTGTCGCCGTCGCCGCCCGTCGCCGCCTCGTTGCCGCCCGTCGCCGACCGTCGCCGCCGCCCCCCGGCTGCACCGCCCCCCGTTGCATTGCAGTCGATTGCAGTCGATTGCATTATGTTGCACCACATAGCTTGCAAAACGTGTGTGTGCATATGTAGATAAATATTGCAGCACGTAGATTGCACGGCACAGCTTATACCACGTAGCACTACATAACTCACACCACGCAGCTCACACCGCATAGGTTGCATCACATATCGTCGTCGTCGTCGGCGTCGACGTCGTCGGCGTCGACGTCGTCGTCTTCGTCGGCGTCGTCATCGTCGTCGTCGTCGGCGTCGGCGTCGTCGTCGTCGTCGGTGTCGTCGTCGAAGTCGTCGGAGACGTCGTCGGTGTCGTCGTAGTCGTTGTCGTCGGTGTCGCCGTAGTCAGTCTTAAGAGATTTTGCTAACCAAGTTGCGGGTGGGTGGGTGGGATGTTTGCAAGAGCATGGGATGTGTCAAACCATTGGAAAAAATCAGTTGCACCACATAGATTTCGCCGCGTAGATTGCACCACATATGTTGCACCACATAGCTTACACCACATGTATTGCACCAGATTGATTGCACCACACAGTATGCTAGAACAGTGTTTGGGGACTTGTTTTGGAAAACGCGACGAAGTTCATTCGGAATCCATTCTGCCGCAAAACCTCCGCCCTCTGGGCCTCGTGAGGGTGCTCTGGAGGCCACTTGGTCCTCCCTGGAGATCCTGGGGGCATCTTGGGCCAGGGACATCTTCGGCAACACCCGAAACTAGCACCCCGCGGCAGGCCAAGGCAGCGGCCAACGGCTGCGGCTGGAGCTCGAGGCAGCGCGAAGCAGCGGCCGTTTGGCAGCAGGAAGCTCGATCAGAGCGGAAGTACTAAGACCCCTCGCTGCTGGTGCTGTTTGGGGAACACCTGGCGTAACCACAGGGACTCTGTTAATGCTTCGGACCACTCCTGCGGTTGCGAAGAAGCGCCGGGCGGCACGCCGGTCTAAGCCTTGATCGCGCGCAGCCTCTTCGGCTCGTACTGCGAAGATACCGGCGCGGCCTCCATGTCAGGGCCGTCCATCGCCGCGTCTGTGTAGTCCCACTTGACGGAGCGAGGGTCCTGCATCCCGCCGAACGTGGCCCCGAAGTGGAAGTCCCTGCGCTGCTGCTTGTCCGAGGCCCTCCGCGCGCTCGCTGCCCTCCCGTGAAGAGCCCGGGCCTCTCGGAGGAGGGCCAGGTGAGACTGCGGCGGCTTCCTCCTCCTCCTCCTCCTCCTCCTCCTCCTCCTCCTCCTCCTCCTCCTCCTCCTCCTCCTCCTCCTCCTCCTCCTCCTCCTCCTCCTCCTCCTCCTCCTCCTCCTCCTCCTCCTCCCGGGGGTCCATCCATGGCCCGTTCCTCGAGGCGGCCCCCGCCGTGGCGACGAGAAGCCCCTGGGAGGCTGGAGAGGAGGAAAGACGCTGTGGGGAAGGCCGCCGCTCTCTCGACTGCCCCTCCTCCGGGCCTCCTCCAGGCTGCCGTCGATGTCGAGCAGCCGCTCGAGGTCTCGGCACGCCTGCACGAAGTCCCGCTGCCGCACGAACGCCTGCGCGCGGCGGTACAGCGCCTGGTGGCGGCGCGCACGAGGGGCTGGAGGGAGGGGGGGGAGGCGTCCTAGAAGGAGGCTGCTTCTTAGAAGGCGCCGGCCTTCCATCTAGAGATGAGGCCCGCACCTTCAGGGAAGCAGGGGTGCTTCTGTAGAAAAACAAAAAAAACTATAAACATAAACCTGTGGCGCTCCGCGCGGATTTCTTGGATCTGCGCTGACCCCCCCTCCCTGGCGCGCGGAGCGCGCCAGGGGCGGCGCCAGAGGCGCCGCCGGGGGGACCCCGCGCGGCGCGGATCCAAGAAATCCGCGCGGAGCGCCAAGAGTTTATGTTTATGGCGCTTTTTCTTCTCGATTCTGAGAAGCCCTCTCCCCTGCCCCCCGCTGCACGTAGCTGAGCCTTGATGTTCTCGGGCTCGGCCAGGAGCACCGCATCGCACGCCCGCTTGGCGCCGGCGGGGTCGCCAAACCTGAGGCAGCAGGCCGCCATGTTGAGCCGGCAGGCGCTCCGGATCTCCTCGCGGCGGAGCGCACAGAAGGGTGGCACGAGGTAAGAGGCTCGAGGATCGAGGCTCGAGGCCCGAGGCTCGAGGCTCGAGGCTCCATCCTCGATCCATAAGGGGGGGCTTCCAAGAAGGCGGGCGGCCTCGTAGAAGGAAGCGCTCACGGCTTCTGAGCCTGCTCAGAGCTGCCCCGGCGCTTCCGAAGAAGGCCCGTGCCTTCTGAGAGGCCCCCGCCGCCCCGTCGCGCCACCCCCGCCGGCGCGCCGCCGTCTCCTTGCAGCTCTGGGCGAGCTCGGGCTTCCCCAGGAACCTGTCCCTGACGGGGCTGACGGTGCTCCCCTTCGGCCGATCCAGGTGGTGGAACAGCTCCTCGATGCGCCGGTACCGCTCGTGGGCGAGGCGGTGGCGGCCCTTCTTGAAGAGCGCGTTGGCAATCGCCTTGCGTCAGGTCGGGCGTCCTCCTACAGGCGGGTTTTGGACGAAAACAAAAAACAGTCAAAAAAATCCGCCGGCCCCCTCCGGGGGCGCAAGGCTGCGAAGGTGTGTGTGCGGTCTGCTGTCACGTGTTATGTGTTGTTACTTGTTGTTGGCCTTTTGTCTCTCCAGTCATGTTTCCTGCCTCCTGCTTACTTTACTGTCTGCTAGGAGGCCCCGCCGCGCCACCAAACAGCCACCGGGGGGTTGAACCTCAAATCCTGGCTGCTCCGGCCAGCCCAGGCTTCTCATGGTGACGCCACCGCGCGGCCAGAACGGCCCGAGAAGCCTCCCAGGTTGCACGAAGAGGCTCCGAAGAGAGCCTCAGGAGCCCAAGACGGCCCAAGATGGCACCAAGATATCCCACGATGGCCCCAAGACGGCCCAAGATGCTCCCAAGACGGCCCAAGAGGCCTCCAAGAGGCCTCCAAAGAGGGCCCCGCGAAGCAAACATCAACGATTATCCTAACGCTTTTGAAGGCTTTGGGCCTTCTCGCCTTTTCAGCTTTCCGACGCTCCGAACCGGACCAAGAGGTTCACAAGATCGCCCCACGACGGCCCTAGAAGCTCCCATGACGGTCCAAGAGGCCCCCAAGACGGCCCAAAGACGGCCGAAGAGGACCCCAAGACGGTCCAAGAAGCGCCCCAGACGGCCCAAAAGGGCCCCAAGACGGTCCCAAGAGAGGCCCAAAAGGGGGTCCACGAACCGAAAACTCGACCTTTCCGCCCCGAGAGGGCCCCAGGAGACCCCAAGAAGGTCCCAAGAGACCCCAAGAGGCCCCGGAGAGGCCCCAAGAGGCCCCCAAGAGGCCCCCAAGAGGCCCCAAGGAGACCAACAAGAGACCCAAAATATGCCCCAAGAGGCGCCAAAACGGCTTCCAAGAAGCTCCAACAATGACCCGCAGACGCTGCCGACAAGCCTGCCACGAGAAGCACCCACGGCGATATCCACGCAGCCGCACGCACTAGTAATACGGGGGCCTCCGCCTCCTCCTCCCCCTCCTGCTCCTCCTGATCCTCCTGCTCCTCCTCTTCCTCCTCCTCTTCCTCCTCTTCCTCCTCCTCCTCCTTCACCTCCTCCTCCTCTTTTTCCTCTTCCTACCCCTCTCCTCATCGCCCGACCCCCCCATCCCACCCTGGTCCTCCTTTGCATCCAACAGCCTGAGCAAGCACCCACGACGCTACCCGCGCAGCCGCCCGCACTAGTAATAGGGGGCCGGCGGCAGAGGGCGAAGCCCGTAAGACAATCAAAACATCTTCAAACATATTCAAAAAATCGTCCCCTGACTATTTGCGGACTATTTTTGAATACTCCTCCTGGAGAGGGACACGCCCGACTTAAGCCTTGCGCCGCTCTGCGAACTTCAGCCGCTCCTCCTCGGAGAAGCTCCAGACGTCTGGGCCCTTCGTGTAGTCGAGGAGCGTCACGCGGTACGTGGCGCCGCCTCCGGGAGCCACCTCCAGCTCGGGCTGGCCATCGGCGAAGAAGGCTGGATCCTTGCAGGTGACAAGAGCAGTCTCGTGCTGCCTCATCTCCAGCATGGCACACTCGAGCGCGTCGCAGACCTGCCCGTTGCCAGGGACCACCCACTGCTCGATCGGGACCTCACCGCCGAGCGGGTACAGCCTGGTTCCGTCGTCGGTGGTGACCTCCTCCACCCGCAGGAGAGCCGTCCCCTCGTCGGTCGGGGTATCGCACCACGCCCCCACGCCCTCCTTCACCACCTCCTTGAAGACTGCGCCGGCGCCCTTCTGGAAGGAGCAGTCTCTCGTCTGGTAAATCTCGAAGAGCCTTGCCTCGCACACGGCACTGGTCTCTGGCCCGTGCTCCCTCACCTGGGGCGAGTCGGGAAGGAAAAGGTCGCCCAGGGTGCATTGCACAGACGCCACCTGGCCCCTGCGCAGCTGCACCAACATGCGATCCAGCGCATCCGCAGTGAGCTGCCCAGTGCCGCGAGGAGCGCCCCCGAGGACGTACTCGAAGTCCGAGCACATGTCCATGATCGGCGCGTCGTCCTCTGCAAGGACGACGGAATAGCCGATGCGCACGCTGTCTCCGCACTCCGGCTTGCGCTTTCCAGCGGCCTCCTCGGTGACGATCACCTCGGGCGCCTTGCGATTGCGGGCATCTGGCGGCAGCTCTGCACCAAGGCAGGGGCGCTGCTCGGCCTCGCGCGCCTTCTTCTTCGTCTCCTCCTGCTCGATCAGCCGATCCCGCATCTCGTGCAGCCCGTGCATCAGCTCCTCAGGTATCTTCGGCCCCTTCTGCGGCCTCTCGAACTTCCCCACGAGGTCGTAGCTGGGGCTCGGTGCTGGCGCGGTCCAGGTGGCGGAGCCGTCCTCCGCGGCCGCAGCAGCGCCCTCCTGCGGATCGAGGCGGTGGCCGTCGAGCGCCCGGGCGACGCCCCGGAAGCAGGCCACCATCGCCCTGGGGCGCGGGCTGCGGGACCTCTCCGAGCGGGGGCCGACCCGTCGGGTCGCGCGGCCACGGGAGCGGGCGGCGCACGCGCGTGACGGAGGAGGGATGCCACAGGCTTGGGCCAGCGGCAGCGGCAGCGGCCGGCGGCTCCCACGACTGCGTCATCCCGTCGCCGCTGCTTGCGTCGCGGCTCTCTGAGATCACCAACGGGCCTCCCACAGGCCAAGAGCCATCAACTGGCTTCATGGGCCCGTCCCATTTTCTTCCATTTGCTCGCCGAGGCTCGAGACAGCACTGGATACGGGGCGACGGAGGTCACGGCGTCCCTGGGAACAAGCCATCCACGAGCGGGCAGGAGCCTGGTCTGCACGCCTCTCTCCTTGGCGGCATCCCCTGCACGGGCTCTGGACGGGGTGGAGGGCACGCCCCGGCCCCGCCTGCCGCTCGCCCGCAGCGTACTGGGGGTAGTGCGCAAAGACAGATGCCATGGTGACGACCACCCCAACATCCCATGTTGTGGGCAAAAAAAATCATGAGGTCGTGAAAAAATTCTGGCCAGAGCCATCGGCCGCCATTCTGCGTGATTGCACAAGCTGGGTCGATCCGCTATTTCACGACGCCTGGACGCCTGGGAACGACGACGGCTAACATGACGATAACCATGATGGATACCTCGACACCCTAAATCTCCAGGAGTCTGGCCTGCGGACACATGGAACCCCTGGAGCCCCTACCCCATCCCGAACTCCTCCTCCTCCTCATCCTCCTCCTCCTCCTCCTCCTCATCATCATCATCATCATCATCATCATCATCATCATCATCATCATCATCATCATCATCATCATCATCATCATCAGCATCAGCATCATCATCATCATCATCATCATCATCATCATCATCAGCATCATCATCATCATCATCGTCATCATCATCACCATCCTCATCATCATCATCAACAACATCATCATCATCATCAGCAGCATCCTCCTCATCATCATCATCATCATCAGCAGCAGCATCATCATCATCACCATCATCAGCAGCAGCATCATCAGCATCATCATCGTCAGCATCATCATCAGCATCATCATCAGCATCATCATCCTTATGATTATTATTATCATCCTCATCCTCATCCTCATCCTCATCCTAATCCTCATCAGCAGCACCACCATCGGCAGCATCATCATCACCACCATAATCATCGCAGCTCCTCGCCATGCCCGTGTGCACCCTGGACAAGCCAGCCTGGGGCCAGAGATGCAGGTCGCACTCCTTCCTTCGGTGCTCCGCGCCCGGGGGCAGCTTCGCGAGCCCCTGGGAACCGACTGGTGTGACCAGCGCGCCGGCTTCGGGGACGAGGCGGCTCGCGGCTCCTCTGCCATCCCAAGCGGGCCTCCGGCGCCTGTTTCGGAACGAAGCGGACGAGTGCCTGGGCATTGCGCACGTGAGCCCACTGTGGGACTCTGCGGAGCTCTACGGCTCCCTCGACCCGATCGCGACGCGCGAGGGGGCACTCGTCCTGGGATTCCCGGCACTCTGCGTGGGGCTGAGCGCCCCAGCGTACCTGAGGCCGCGGCTGCCACGGTCGCGTGGCGCGGTGTCGATGCCGATTATGCCCACGTGCTCCGTCTTGACAGGCGGGTGATCAGCGAACCACTACGCACAGTGCATTGCGCACGACATGTTGGAGCGGCTGCACTCCGATTACGGCGTACGGGGAATGGCGATTGGCCAGTGGGTGGACGACGTCACCTTCCGCCACGAGGGCCCCGCCCATGTCGTGGCACGGACCCTCGGCGCTGCTGCGGCAGATGTCGCCGCCGAGGCGCGGGAGTTGCAGCTCGAGATCTCGACCGAGTCGGCCGTGGTCGCATCGTCCCGCGACGTCGCCGCGGACGTGGCCTCCGAGTGCGCCCGGCGCGGCGTGCAGCTGCGGCTCAAGGGCGTTGGTCGGACCTCGGCCTCGACAGGGGCCCATCTCGTCGCGGCAATCGCATTGGCCACCGCAAGCGCGTGCAGCGCGCCTGGGGGCAGATGAACCAGCTCGCGCGGGCCGCGCGCACTCCGGCCACAGGGAGGGCGACCCAGCCGCTGACGCAGACGTCCCCCATGCCGCAGGCCTTACACGGCGCCTCTGCCATGGGCGTGGCGCCGGCCGCGAGGGCGCGCCGGGGAGCGCGCAGCAGAAGCGCCCGCCGGCGGCGTGCGGCACGGCGAGTGCAGACCGCACGCCCTTGGCGCTGGAGCCCGGGGCGCGGAGCCGCACGCTCCCGGCAGTGCGGAGGCTGTGCGCCGCAGGGTGCGAACTGCTGGCGGAGCCCAAGGGCCGCCAAAAGCTCGCGCGCCGCCTGTCCTGCGCGCCTGCCGACGGGAGGTGGAGGGCGGTGGACGGACCCATCTCGGCAGTGGTCGCAACGCTGCTGCACCTCCACCGCATGGAGGAGCCACACTGGCGAAGAGTGGCGCTCCGGGGCGGCGAGCGTTGCAGGGGACGAGCCGCAGGACCCGACGGAGTTTCTGGAGGCGCTGGAGCAGTCGGTCTGGGACGCTACCTGGCGCAGCTCAGCCCAGCACTTCGCTGGGAAAGGCCTCGAGGGCGGCTGCGACCTCTTCCTCTTGCGCTGGGAGCTGCGCCGCCTCGAACACAAGGCAAAGGCTGCGCCGTGGCGAGGGCTGCGGATGGCAACCGCAACGGGAGCGTACTGGACCCGCTGGCGCCTTGGTGAGTCTGGGATTGAGGGCGATCCCGAGGAGCTCCTTCGCCGCCGCTGCAACTGGCGATGCATTGAGACACCGATGCACAGGTCTTGGGAATGCGGCGGCAACGAGGGCATCGAGGTCTGCGCGGCAACGGCAGACCTTGAGGAAGCCGCGTGGCGAGAGGCAGCAGGGTGCCCAAGCTTTTGGCTGCACGGCCTAGTTCCCGCTGCCTGGACTGCGACGCCGCTGGCTAATGAGGATCCCAAGGCGTGGCAATGGGGTCGAGGACCCGACCTGGTCGCCGGCGACGCTGGCCAGAGGCGCCCATGTGGGGCCGCGGAGACGACATCCCAGGCAGCGAGGCGCAGACGGTCAACCACGCGGAGCTGCGGGCGATGGTCGAGTACGTCGAAGATTGCGGTGCTCCTCGGCGGATGCTGCACTATGTCCTGGACTCGGCGTACGTGCAGCGTGGCTGGGGCAAGCGCTGTGCTCGCCGCCGCCGCCGCAGTCACCGCGACCTTTGGGAGCGGCTGGAGCGGGTTGCCGCAGAGCGCTCACGGCAGCTTGTCGTCCACAAGGTCGAGCCGCATCTCACGGACGACGAGGCCGCGGAGAAGGGCGCCGACATGCTCTTCGTGCGCCTCCACCGGAAGCTCCTGGAAGGCGGACCGCCTCGCAGAGCAGGCCGCCCAGAAGCGCGCCCTCGGCGAGGCTGATGTGAGGGCGGCGTGGGATGTCGATGAACGGGCGGGCCGCGTGGGCACCCGGCTCGCCGCTGGTTCTGCAGGCGGCAGGCGACGCCGACCCGAGGCAGCGGCGCGCGCCCGCCCAGCGCGCCCCGCAGCCGGCTCCCTTCGAGGCGGCTCTTCGCGGACCGCGGCACGACGTCCAGACCGTCGGAGCAGCCGCGCGGAGGCCTGGAGCGCTGCGGATGTGCTGCCGCTGCCGCTGGTCGGAGTGTGCGCGACACGCGAGGTGCGTGTGCGAGGCGGCTGCGCACGGCCTGCGCGGGCCCGCCCACTGCCCTCGGCAGCAGCCCGAGGGCCTCGCGGCAGAGCCGCGGCCCCTGGCAGGCGCGGGTGCACAGCCCGGAGCCCGTGTGGTTCTGCGCCCGCTGCGGCCCCTGCGCCGCGCGGGAGGCCGGCGGTGCTCGCGGGACTGGCTCGCCCCTGCCGCGCGCCTGGGGGTCCGGTCACGCGGGCGGGGCGCGAGGCCCTGACCAGTCTCGAGCGCGGGCTGTGGCCTGGGACCGCCGCTGCAGCCCAGGAGTGGCACGCAGGACGCCTCGGCCGCGAAAGCGCGGGCAGGGGGCGCAGGCGACGCCAGGGCGGCGCCTCGGCGGTAGCCGCGGCGGCGTGATGGCAGGGGCGACCGCCCGGGCGCGGCTTGACAATCGCACAGTGTGCAGACTACTCTCCTCTCTCCCCTGATGACGTCCGGAAGATGTCCGGCCCCCCTCCGTCTTTCCGCTCGCTCCGCGCTTCCGCTCGTTCCGAATCGTGCTCCCTCTGCAGCGCTGGCCCCATTTCTGCGCCTCTGGTTGCTCCAAAACGTGATCCCGCTGTAGCGCGGACGTTTTCGGCTCTTCCAAGTAAGCACAAAATCTAGAAATTTACCCTCAAAAAAAAACATCGCAAGTGATTACACATCCAGTTTCGATTCGTTGAGCTTATGGGATGCAGAAGCCCCCCCCACTTCGGGGCGGCGTCGTTTGGAGAAAGTATCAAGCGGGAGCTCCGTTTCTGCTTTCAGAAGGCGACGTTGCAAGCAGAGCCATCGGGTGCTCTCCATCAGCCCCGCCTGTTGGGAAGCTTTTCAGGGAGCCCAGGGAGCTAAACATGGAGCCGAAACTCCAGGCTGGCCCAGACCCTTCGAAGGCGATCCACTTACCCTTCAAGGAGCCTGGCGCCCTGCCATGACATGCTGTGCGGTGTTCTGTTCTGCGCCGCTGTGCGATGCCATGCTTTGCGTTGCAGGGCTTTGTGATGCTATGCTTCACTGCGCCAGCATTGCGCCATGCTATGACATTATACGCTCTGCCGAGCTCTTCTACGCCATGCCATGCCGTGCTCTACGATGCATCGCGCACCCTCTCGCGATCATTGCCCTGTTCGACATCGGACTGTGCGAATAGAGAAGATATCTACGCCATGGTAAGGGATGAGAGAAAGAGGTAGGACGTCAGATATGACGCAAGCGCACCCAGTTTCCATCATCCCCCTCCTCCTTCTCCTCCTCCTCCTCCTCCTCCTCCTCCTCCTCCTCCTCCCCCTCCCCCTCCTCCTCCTCCTCCTCCTC